GGAGGATCTTGAAGAGAAGTCCTAGTGCAAAAAAATTCAAACAGATTCAAACAAGGTGGTGCATGCATGCAATCCCAGCATTTGGCAGAGCGAAGGTGGGAAGATAATGAGTTCAAGGTCATCTTCAGCTACATGAGGAGTTTGGAAGCCAGTCTGAGTTGTAACAATCTGGTTTCAAAACAAACCAAGCAAGCTTCGGGTAGTCACACTCGCCTTTAATTCCAGCACTGGAGAGGCAGAGGCTAGTGTATCTCTGTGAGTTCAAGGTTAGCCTGGTCTACATAGGGAGTTCCAGGACAACCAGGGCTACATAGTGAGACCCTATCTGTCTCAGAAACAAAACAAAACAGAACCCCAAACAGACATTAAAGTCTAAGTTCAAGACTTCAAGATGCATGAAAGAAAAGATAACAATGACAAATTTAGGTGATTCCTGCTGGTGCTGCTCCAAAGCGTACGGACTTTGCCTAACACTCAGATTGCAGCACCATGAGGTTAGCACTGTTGCTGCCCGGCATTATGGTGGAAGAAACTTGAAACAGACACTAATTATCCACTAATTATAACTAGCCTGTAGAAGTTCTGGGACAGGGTCTAGACAGCGGACATCTATGTTAGATAGCCCCAAAGCCTCCTGGGACTGTGCCCTAGCCACAGGCTGTCCCCATGATTATTTCCTGATACTGTCAAGTTTTTATAACCTTCTCCATGTCCTGGGGGACCTTCTGGTGGTATTTCCTGGTCCTCTTCAGATGTATGCTCTCTGCAGCTGGTAGCTGGGCTGAAGAGAGAGAGGGGAGGGTCAGAGTGCACCAGTGACTGGTTGTCTGGACTGGAAAGTACTGGAAAGTTTCTGGCTCTGGCCTCAAGGCATGGGTGGAAAGTGCCTCCACTAACTCCACCTTTTCTCCTTTTTATTAATTTACACTGAGTCTGTGGTGTAGATTAAAAGCTGGCTTTAAATTTTAGCACTGCTTCCTCATAGCCATATGATCTTAGACAAACAGCTTCGAAAATGCAAACCCTAACTTTTCACCTACAGAGTGAGAATGAGAAGAACCACGACTTTGGCTGCACAGCAGGCCTTTCACCATTGACAAACATGGACAATTGATTTTCAATTCTCAATGACTGAACAACTGTGAGGCATTATTGAATCTGATCCTCTGGGGTTTTAAAATGGAACCCAGGACATTTTGTATGGTAGGCAAGCACTCCACTACTGAGCTATGTTCCCAGACATCTTTTTTCTTTTTTCTCCAGACTGCGTTTCTCTGTATTGTTTTGGAGCCTGTCCTGGAAATCTCTCTGTAGACCAGGCTGGCCTCAAACTCATAGAGATCCACCTGCCTCTGATTTTCAAGTGCTGGGATTAAAGACATGGCCACCATGGCCCAGCTACACACACACACACACACACACACACACACACACACTTTTATTTTGAAATAGGCTTTCACTAAGTTGAGCTCACTCTGTAGGCCTGCTGGGGTTTGAACTAGAAATCCTCTTGACTCAATCTCTTGAGTAGCAGAGATTACAGGCCCAGGCTAACACCAGATACCAAGCCTGGCTGATTCTGATCCTTGACATAAAAGCTGTTCCTTTTTGCTTTCCTCCATTGGAGCTTATGTTTGCCTTTCATCTGTTCTCAGGGTTTTCTTAAAGTTATGGAGATGAACTCAGGTTCTTGCTTATGCTAGGATACTGTCTTCATGAAGCCTACCCCTTCATGTGTGTACGTGTCTAGCACATGTATATGTGTGTGGTATGTGCTGGTGCAGAGGCCTTTCACATACAGAGGCCAGACTAGGGCATCAGGTTTCCTGTTCTATCACTTTGTCTTAGTCTCACTGAACCTGGAGTCAGGCTGGCAGCCAGCAAGCCCCCCCAGCAATCTTTTTTGTCTCTGTCATCCACAGTGCTAGGATTAAAGGTACGTGGGGATACTTGACTTTCTTTTTATTTTATTTTATTTTATTTTATTTTATTTTATTAAATGTGAGAGCTGGGGATTTGAATACAGTTCAGTGAGGATTTGAACCCACTAAGCCATCTCTCTAGTCTGTTTCTTGATTTCTTTTATTTATTTATTTTTTTGTCACCTCCCAGTGTCTGAACCTATCCCTGGAAAATGTAAGGTTCAGAAAAAGTCAGTAGTGTTTTCACACTTACTTGTCATATCACACTCTTGTTATTTGTAAGATCTTTTTCTGGAAGATTTTATATCCACAGGTAAGTGCACAAACTCAGGAGGTGATAGTCCACATTGCCTTTAATCACAGCAGAGGCAGAGGCAGGCAGATAGATCTCTCTGAGTTCCAGGACAGCCTGGTCTGTTACACTCAGAAACCCTGTCTTGAAAAAACAAACAAACAACCCCACCCAAAAGGTGCACAAATCCCGAGTGCTTGGTAAGCTCCCACAACATACATACCTGCCTTTGGGAAACCTTGGTACAGACTACCCAACAGAGGAACAGGACACTACCAGGACTCAGACACTCACTTTGAGCTCTTGAGCTGACACCTAGTCACCATCCCTACTCCCACCCCATGTCTCATGCCTGTGATGCTAGTGCAGCACAAAGCCTTGTCAGATGGTCCCGAAAAGCTTTGTTAAACTAAAATGAACCCCTCTAAGATTACCTTGACTTTCTTGGCTTTAATTAACCTCTTCTACAAAACAGGGCAGCACTTCAATGATTTCAGAAATTCCCAGTCTGCCAGGTGGTGGTGGTGCACACCTTTGATCTCAGAACTTGGGAAGCAGAGGCATGTGGATCTCTGAGTTCGAGGTCAGCCTGGTCTACAGAATGAGTTCCAGGACATCCAGGGCTACTCAGAGAAACTCTGTCTCAAAAAGCCAAAAAAGAAAAAAAAAAATTCTTAGTCTGGGCTCAGTGGTAGAGTGTTTGCCTTGCATAGGCAGGGTTCTGTGTTCAAATCCTACTACTTAGGATGAAAAGAATTCCAATGCTTGCACCATATAGACATAATTTCTTGAGCTTTCCGAATTCCAATCATGAACATTTTTCAAATTTCAGCTTCAGCTGTGTGTGGCGGTGCACAGTAATCCCACTTGAGAGGCAGAGGCAGGAGGATTGCCAGAAATTAGAAGCCAGGCTGGGCTACACAGCAAGACTCTCTCTCACAAAACAGAGAACATGCCATTTTTGGAAGCTGTGTTCTGCCTGCAGGTAATAAAAATCCTTCTTTATTCTTTAAACCAATCAAACAAATAGACAGACAGACCAAAACAATGCCCAGCTTCTTGCTTTTTTGTTGTTTCACTACCGTTATGGGTTGAATTGTGCCCTTTCAAAAGAAGTTGAGGTCTTCCCCCTGCCCATACTAAGTGCCTGTGAATGTGGCTGCCTTATTAAGGTAAGCCCCCCTCCCCTTTTTTTTTTTTCTTTTTGTCTCTTTGAGACAGGATCTTCCTATGTAGCCCAACCTGGTCTGGAACTCACTTTGTTACGCAAGCTGACCTGGAGTTGAAATTCCTCCTTCCTTAGTCTCCCAAGTGCTGGCAGTTATGGGTGGGACTCATTGCTCACGGCTTAGATGGACTTTTTAAGTTGATCAAGCTAAGGTAAAGTCATTAGGGCAGACTCCTAATTCAATTTGACCGGAGTCCTTATAAAAGGGAACATTTGGATCTAGAGACAGAGACAGGGAGGTTGGAGTTAGCTCCCCCAGTCAAGGGAAGCCAGCACACTGCCAGCAAAGCACCGGCCAGGAGATGGGATGCAGTAATAACAGAGCTGTGCTCACTCAGTCCTTAGCACAAACCTACCCTTGCGAACATTTCAGATTTCTAGCCCACATTTATTTATTTAGCTTATTTTGTGGCGCTGGGCATTGAAATCAAGGCTTTACAAATGCAGGCAAACACTCTGCCTCTGAACCACAGTCCCACCCCTCTCGTTCTAAACATTGCACATAGATGACTTCACTTAGCCATTATGCTGTCCGTTTTTTATAGCTACTTATCTCCACGTTACAGCTGAGAAAGCTGTGAAACAGAGAAGCTAAGTTACTTGCTCAAGAACATTCGTGTTAGACTGCACTTTTTTTTTTTTCCATCTGGGTCTCGGCTTCCTCTTCTTACGGGATACCTCCTTCTCTCGACGACAGGGGCCGCTGCACTGCGCGGGCGCTGACAGGTCTCTCTAGCTCTCTGCGCCGGCTGCTCGTTGGTGCCTATAAATGGCTGCGCTGTGCTCAGCTAGGCATCAGTCCGCTGCCGCGGGACCCGTGGCTGTGTCGGGGCTGGAGGTGGAGCCGGAGCTGGAGCTGATCGTGAAGGAGCTGTCGCTCGGCCAGGGTGCACTACAGCACTGCACCGGGGTCACAAGGAGGGGTGTGTTGCTGCTGGCTCACTGCGCGCCGGCTCCAGCCTGCGCCGAGTCGCCTTCCCGCCAGGCCGCCTGCTTGCCTCCGTCTTCCGCCTCCCTCCATTTCCCTGGAATCTCAACCCGGCGCGCCTGGACCCTGGCTCTCCTCTGGGTGGGGAAGCCCCAGCCCCTTTCCGGCTTTACTCCTTTCTGGCAGGCTGGCCTTCAAGCCTTCTTCTCTCTCCTTTTCCTGCAGTGGGTCTCACCCTTTTCGGTCCCTTCTACACAGGTTCCTTACCCCTTCCTTTTCGCCGAGTCCCAGCACCCCGGTGATTTTCCTTAGCCAAAGGTCCCATCCTTCTTTCCTCCTTTCCCTTGCTGGTGCCCTCTTTCTTTAGGACGCGGTCCCCGATTGCCTTCTCCCAGCCTGGAGTTCTAGATCTTTTGGGTTTCCTCCCAAGTTCCTACAAGGTACTTGCCCCCCTTTCCAGTTTGGACTTTAAGATTGTGAATCTCTAGAAAAGCAAAATACCTCTAAATCATGAACTTTTCCTAGAGACTGCCCCAGTCTCGTCCCACCCTGCAGACTGCTTACTCTCTATGTCCCAGGTCTTATACTCGCTTCCCTAAGGGCTGAGGCCTCACAGGCTGAGGGAGCAGCATGATGCTTCGGTGGTCTGGCATCTGGGGACTTTCTCCACCTCGGATCTTCCCCTCCTTGCTGGTGGTGGTTGCCTTGGTGGGACTGTTACCTGTTCTCAGGAGCCATGGCCTCCAGCCTAGCCCTACTGCCAACACCATCAGAGGGGCTGAACCACCACGGGAACGCTCAATTGGGGATGTCACCACTGCTCCATCAGAGCCTGTCCACCACCCAGACGACCGCAATTTGACCAATTTACACATTGAACATGGCGCTAAGACACTTCGAAAGGCCTTTCCAGTGCTGGACATTGACTACTTACATGTGCGCACACCCTTTGAGATCTCCCTCTGGATCCTGCTGGCCTGCCTCATGAAGATAGGTAAGTCTGAGGTGTGTGATGGTGTTGCTTCTGCCGCCACCACCAGATAGGTGAGCTTCTTTCTTGTCCCATTTGTTACCAGATGGGGCTTCTCAGGGTCTGAATGAACCACTTCTGTGACATAGGCCTCCTCTTCCTTTTTGTGTTTGGTCCTTAAACTCTGGCCTCTGTGATCTGAGACCTTCCAAGATTAGAGCTGGCCTTATGAAGGGGAAGGAAGGGACCAGGGGAGTGCACAGGACTTGAGAATGGGATGCCTCTGACACTAGGTAGTTTCAGTAACGCTTCCAAGGCTTGGCAGGTCTCCTATGGCTTGGATCAGATCTAGAGAGGAGTCGGGTGCTGAACTGTAAGACAGGAGGACCTTTTAGCAAGTGGCACTTTCTGTCCTGTCAACAGGAATCAGTGCAATTTATTACCTTCCTCGTGAGAGTGTTTCAGGACCTGGCCTGTCTCAGGATTTTGCATATAGTAGGGGACTGGTTACGGGAGACTTAGGAGTGTGGTAGAACATCACCAAAGTCTCATTTTCCTTCATCCCCAGGGTAGTATCTGTCCGTTTTGCCTGCCAAGGCTGATCAGATGCCCCTGAGTCAGGTTCCAGACCAGAAATGCCAACCGTTATCCAGTTCATAGGCATTTCCAAAGGCCGTTTTTGGGGTGGCAGGAAAGTGGAGGAAGATGAGATTTGCTTCAGGGTTGTACCCGACTGACCAGAGACATTGACTACTCATTGAAGGAGAAGAGATATAGACAAGAGCTAGGTCTAAAGAGATTTCAAAATACTCTTTTTGGAAGAAGGACATGGAAAAGGTGTTCCCTCCCCACGGGTTGGGCTCCCTGCCTAGCCTGAGCAACCTGTCCTGCTGGGTGATTGGTGTTCTCCAGAGACCGAATAGTCCAGAAGTCCCTGGAGGTAGTGTCCAGGGGGCTTTGCAAGCTGCCTTAAGTTTTTCAGTTCCCTTTAAGTTAACTGTGGAAGGTGCAAGGTACTGGGACTCTGCTCCCCTCTTTGCTTGAGATTTGGGTTTTGAGGAGGTAGAGACTGAGCAGGAAGCCTTGAAGCTCTCCCAAGGACATCATTGCCGATGGTTCCTGAAGCGTGCTGCAGGAACTGATGCCTCTGTTTTGACAGATCCAGGAGCTGGCTTCCCAGTACAGGGCTTTGGTGCTGAGGTGTTATGGTGGCTGCAGAGTTTGGCCATGGAGCTGGGCCATCAGCACTTACATCCTGATGGCAGCCAGCTTCCTGGAAAAAATCAAGGACTGAGCAAGGGGAACCCTGTGTCCGGATTCTCACATAAATGCATAACCTTGAGCAGCTGAGCCTTTCCTGAAGGTCTTTGTTTTGTGAAAGAATCTGAATTGCTATTTGACTATATTGATTGAGTCATGAAACCTTGTGTCTGTATTTGTTATAAGAACTGAAGTGGCCATGATTTGTCATTTGTCTGTGGGAGACAAGGAAAAGACTTCATAAGTGCTTGTCTGTAAATTAACACCTCCCTTCTGCCCCCTCATGCCCCAGTGTCAGGAGTTGGCACACACAGTGCATATCTGCTGGTGATATGACCAGAAAGACCCCACTCTGGAAACTTTTTTTTTCCCTGCAGACCTGATATGACAGCTCTTGTCCTAAGGGGCAACAACTGGGCCTGACCTGCCTTGTCAACATGGAGTGTGGGGCCTGAGACCCTCAGTGGGACAGCAGGGACGGGGTGCTGGCTAGAGTATCAGTCAGGAAACTGAGTTCTCATTTCTCCTCCCCTGTGACCTTGACCAATCGAGCCTCCTCAGCCAGCTGATCTTTGTGATCCGTTCCAGGTCTGACATTTCTGTTATTGCTCTGATTCTGGAAACCCTGGGAAAGCTCCCCAACCTTGGACCTCAGTTTCCCTGTCAGAAAATGGGAAGGCTGAGTATGATCCCCCTTTGCAGTCCCAAAGGTCTGTGTATCTGGCTTGGAAAGGCATTTTTCTGCTTCTCACAACAGGAGCCTCCTTCGGCACCTGGCCATTCTGGGGGGTAAAGCGGAGGGGGCAGGTGGATGAAAGACGTGAAGGGTCGGTCCTGTTCCGAAGGCAACAGTGAAAACCCACTCTCCACTTTCACCTTCACAGGGCAGCGTTAAGGTTAGATTTGAGGTTGCAGTGGAGACGGTACCTGCCATCTGGTGGTTTACATCCTCTGAACCTCAGTTTCTTTGTCACAGGATAGAGTGTAGCTCAGTGGTGGAGAACACCTAGGTTCCACCCCAGTACCACACCCACAAAAAGTGTGTGTGTTGTTCCGGGGTGGGGAACTAGTGCTTAGCTGTAGTGTTAGTGACGTGACGATGCCGTAAATGAATGCACAGACAGTTGACTTTATGTAGGGAGTGCTTGGTGAGCAGCCACTGCCGCTGTCAGTGTTGTAGCCACCTAAGGCAGAAGCATCCCTACTTCCTAGGTCCTCTAAGACTGGAGCACAGCGTCCCTTATCTGTGCTGCCACCTGGTCCTTCCTTAAGGTTACAGGGGTTTGGACATGTCATCTGACTCTCTCTCTCTCTCTGCCTGTCCTGTGTAACCCTGGCTGTCCTGTTCTTTCTCTTGATCTGCCTCCATGTGCTGGTTGTGGGAAGAGGGGAGATGGTGCCTTGATAACAGGCTGGCGGGTGAAGCACTGGTTTCTGTACTGGCTGCTATCCAAGAGCTAGAGAATTTGTTTCAGGGTCTTGCCCGTTTCCTCATTATCCCAGAGTGGGTAGAGGTTTTGGTGGAGTCCCCATCCTCCTTGTCATGCAAGATACCCCTCTTTTAAGAACGGAAGGTGCAGTGTACAGTCTTCTTTGCCATCCTGGTTGTGTCCCAGAACCCAAAGGAGAACCCAAAGGACTGACATGGGAGAGACGGGGCAAGAGTTAATAATTTTCTAGAGTAATTGATGCCTTTGGGACTGGGGAGGTGACCTCGGGCAAATCACTTGCCTGCTCTGGACCCTGTTTTGTTCTCTCTAGTAGTCAAGTCCTTTTCTTGGTGGGAGGAGGGTTAGCGGTTTAAGAGGGACTTAAATTATTGGGAGAACCAGAACTGGGTATGTAACTTAGTTGATAGAGTACTTGCCTGTCATGTCTGAGGTCCTGGGTTCGATTCTCAGCACTGTATAAAGCAAGTATGATGGTAACACACTGTAATCTCAGTACTGAGAAAAAGGCAGGAAGATCAGAAGTTCAAGGCCATCCTCAGTTACTGAGTGAGCTTGAAGCCAGATACACAAGACCCCATCTCAAATAAGTAAATAATAAATAAATGTATGAATAAATGAATAATTGAGCAAACTGTCCTGAAACCTTTGGGATAGGGCTATTCTCCTCCTCCCTCGCCTCTTCTTGTGCTGTGGTTTGGCTCTTGCATGAATTCTGCTTTGTCCCAATTCACCTGACTCTCAGGCAGTGTTTTTTCCCAGGGAGAAGCTCTCTGTAGCCCAGCTCACCACTGGCAGCACCCCTGTTGTTTGCCCATATTTCTGACCTGGAACACCTGGCAGAGGCCCAGATGCCTATAAAGCAGGTATTCATCTTGTCCCCTGATTAGGGACAAAAAAAGACTTCTTTTGTCCCTTTACATCTTATGATGTTGTTTTGGTTTTGGTCTTTGCAAGGTGTATGCTATTTCCTCCTTAGAACAAGTTTGTAAATAGAGACTAGGGAGTTATTATTGCCCACTTCTCATAAGCAGACATGAGCCCGGTGTTCTGTAAAGGTGGGACTTGGACCTACTTCTTCCACTTCTCCAAAGGAGAGAAGAAACAGGTCACCTTGAAGCTGTCTCAACCCCATGGGACTCTACCAAGAAAATGGATGACCTTTCTCTCCTGGGAAAACAGCTGCCTGACTGGGATGGCGTGAAGGAAGTCAGCTGGCACCTGGGCGAAAAGGCCTCAGGTAGTGTGTTCTCAGGTGTGCTGGGCACTTGGCCTGGATTTCATTCAGCTTCAGGCCCGAGGTTCACCTTTCCTCTCACCCCGGCCGGTCCGGTCCCACACATGCAGCTAGTCTCTAAGGAAACCTTGCTTTGCTCTCTGCTCTTGGTGCTGCTGCTTTTTTGCTACATGTCTCTGGACTTGTGAAGTGATGGCAGTGTCTCACCTTCTGAGTCTGAGGTAGAGATTGATTTTGGGGGGGTTGTCTGGCTCACTGTGTGTGGCTTTTAGAGCTTATTACACACACACACACACACACACACACACACACACACACACACACACACACCGTGTTAGTCAGTTTTGTTACTATATCAAAAATACTGTATATAGTCAGTTTATAAAAGAGAGTTTATTTTGGTTCACAGTTTTGGGGGCTCACAGATTAGTTAGCCCATCGTTTGCCTACAGATGAGGTGACACTTGATGGCAGGAATATTTAGTGGACCAGAATGGCCTCCCTCATGACTGGGAAACCAAAGAGAGCATGGAGGAAGATGAGATTCTATCATCCCTTCACGGACTTGCCATTAGCCCTAAAGACCTGTTAGGCCTCTTAAATTCCCACAACTTCCCAATAGTACCTCTTTGGGCCTTTGGGGAAAAGCCCAGTCCTGTTCTCCACTCTCCTGATGCTCTCTCCATACTTTTTTCTCCAGTTTCGGCATTACGCCTAGCCCGCCTGTGGCATGGCTTCTGTTGTTGTTGGGGTGTATGTTCTAATAATAATTACCATTTATCGAATATCTACAGAGCAGTGTAGGGACTCTGTAAAAGTATCTTACTAATTCCCACTAAGTCTTAATAGATAAAGGTCCCCTCTGTTCTTCAGATGAGGGAACAGCTCCTGTTCTTAGCCATGCTGAATTGCTGTTTATTTTCTGTTCGTGTCTTGGCGTAGCCTCCTGGAGGGGTGCAGCTGCACGGATTGCCTCTCTCGTTGCCTCAGCTGATGCATTAGGCCCTGTGTGGAGTGGTGCTGCGCTCCACTGCACCTGTGCTCCACTAGGACTCCATCTGAGGGGGTGGCATGTCCAC